CTCTGACTAAAGTATAATTGGTCAAAAACATGGCCCACCTGTCCCTTTAACAGGCATGTTAAAAGCTACACTGGCAGCTCATCGTCAATTTTTATATGTGTCATGTTAAAATTTGTGTAGCGAATGAACATGTGAATCCTGAACAAAACATTAATACTCTGTATCAGTGTGTAGGTTATACCGAAAGCGTATTGACTGCATATTAGATGGATACGATGCAGATATCTAATCCAGCCATGTAATATAACACCCAAGTAGACATTATGAGCAATGTTATATTTATTTACAGGTTAAAAGTGTGCAGTTACAACCTTTATACATGGTGTTATATCTTATAAATCGTGAAGTAGGTGTTTAGGAAAAATATTCTCATTTCTGACAGTTTGAATGGTTTCCATGTGCCACTTGAAGTTAGAACTATGTTGATTTGGTACAAGACTGTTTACACTTGTGCATGTTTATCTATAATGATGATCTTTCTACTCAACCTCACTTAGAAATTCCCATTCTGCATGTTGCTGGGATGGTATTTAATGAATAATTTGCCAAGGTGAAATAAAAAGATCTAGTGGTCGTTCAATACAATTTGCAGTGATATCTGGTGACAATATCACTCCGAACAAACACATCAAGCAATATATGAATTAAATAATTGATTAAAGTAAGCTAGTCTACAATGTCAGTTAGCTGGATGCGGACGTTAAGAGCGCTGCTACGGCAACGGAAGATGGGTATTGATATTGCTCTAGGGATGCAGATGCCAGGCATCTCGACACAGAAAGGCAAAAGTCGAAAGCAATAAACTGTTGGCACGTAAGAGTTGTTTGGGCAACTTTTGTTGTAGGCTCACGTCCAAATATCGTCTGTAGGTTCATGTGAATACGATCATTGATACTTAATTTTAATTATTGCCTTGCTTACAGGCGTCCAAAATACATGCTAGCACAGTAGAAGCTACAGTTTTTAACTTATGAGATCATTGTTCGCATGATGAAAGACGGAGAAAAAAATTAGATATGGGCTACGCAGTTCGATGATGCTTAAATCTGAATGTACGTATTAATTGGGTGAAAGGTTAATTTCGTGGCAAATTACACTACCTACAACTAGCTCTCAGTTCTTGTAATGTGTTAAAATATGTAGAATACTCGACAGGAAGTACATTTACGAGGTATCAAAACTTTCTTCTCAAACCACAGCATGCATAAAAAAAATTTCCTGTGAGTTTTATGACATTCTTTGGATCATGTTAGTAACGCTAGTATAGATTTATGACTATAACCAGACTTGTTGTTCCTGGCTGAATGATTTCATTCTGAATCTGTTATAAGAGTAAGACATTCATCACCCCTCATTCAATATCTTTATTGCTATCGGCAGTTCTTATTAGAACTTCTCGTCACGACCTCTATCGGGACGAGTTGTTGCCCTTAACGACGATTGCTAACCTTGAATTATTGCTCCAGACGCCTTGGTGAAGACTGTGTAAATTGATGAGATCACACATAAAGTAGCTTGTCTTTATTATTTGACATGTTATATGGGAAAAATCATCAGTTACTTGCTTTCTTTCTTTCGATAATAATACGACATTCAGTTCATATATCAGAATACGTTGATTCGTGCTACTATGGTTCAGGGCAAGCCTTCTTTAGATATATACGAATTATTAGCAATGGTATGAAGCCACCATGCACTTTGCTTACAGAGTTAGACTATGAAAGAATTAGTCCTTTTGGTTTTTTTGATAGATCTTGTCATACTAAAGTATGATTGATCAAACGGATTGCTGACTTGCCCCTTTAATATCAGTAAAGCCCATGTTTGCACTAAATTATGTAATTCTCTAGGTCGGTGCGGTAAGGATTGTATACCAAACCCCATGTAGATGCTCCTCTCAATTTTGGCAAGACAGTCATTTCCAACTTTCAAGTCCAGTGGCGACATTATCCCTTGAAGCTCGTGGATAAAAAGAACGTGGTCTGATTGCGACATGTATCCAGGACCTTTGGTCAGTAGCATGTACACATGTAGTCATGATAGCGAGTTCGTTTGTCTTGTCAGTATCAGTAGCTTCATATAATAACGTAGGATGTAAAACTCCATTCATATATAATAACGGAAGGGTTGAATCCAGACGTGTGAAATTCATTCTATATTTACAGCTTTGAATTCTTATGAATCGTTTTATTTCTTTTGTATATTAATCTCTTTGATCGATGATTCGGACTGATTCAAAATCAATGACAATGAACAAAACAATTGATTACGTCTGTAGTATCTAGTTTCAAGCTTCCATCGTGAACCCACTTCAAGTTGTTAGTTCCTATTAATAGACCGATCAAATATTACAATCAACTATTTCTAAAATTGTTGTGCAACCAATTAAGAGGCCTTTCTTGATAATGAAGTAAAATTCTTTTAAAATGGTTATTATCATGACATTGTATTGATGACGACGGATGTGGGTGAAGGCGGAT